TTGTTTCTAGTTACTGCAAGGGGTGCCCTGGTAAACAGAGTATCTCCTATCCCTTGCTGCACCCCCCAGCAAATTTGTAGCCAACCACTAGATCACCTCTCAGCCTTCTCTTACAGAGTTAGATTTGAGTATTCATGGACAGGCAGTTTAATGACTGCCCCTTCTGATCCTTTGATACAAGAGGCAACAGCCATGAGGAAAGATGTTAGGATTTTACCATTCCTTGTGTAAATTACCATTCAGCTGAATTGTCACCTTCCAGTTGCAGAGCTTCTGTTTGAAACAAAGTTATGGAAGCACTTTCAGTCAGCTGACAGAAAAGAAAACAATTCAGAAAACCTCAAACCTTGATTCTGCATCCTCTTCTCAAAACAGCCCTTTAAAAATGAAAATACTTTTGTTTTTAAGTGACGGTAATTAGCACTGAAAAGCACATTCTCTCAGAAACCATAGTTATTTACTAATCTGCTCAAAATGAAAAGCAGATGCATTTCAGTCAACCCAGTGCAGCTATTGACAGTGAAAGCTGATAGGTTACTAGTGACTACCATATATCATATTTGAATCTATTCCTTGTCCACACTAAGTCTATAGTGGCCAGCAGTGTGAAGTCCATTTTGCTGCCAGATACTACCCAGTTACCATATTTATTTGCTATTCTAATTACAATGACAGGTTATAGTACCTCAAACACTAGAGGCACTTATCAAATCATCAGAATTAAGTATCTTTGGCTGCTTAGTATCTCTGAGACCAGGACAGTGTTGACTAGAAACTTCTCAAAGCTAGCTTTTAAAAATTACCCCTCACCCTGGGTTCAAGTCCCATAGCAATAGTAATGTTCATGCCACTTTTGCTCAAGGAGAAATTCCATCAATAACTAGGATGCACCTCTGAGCAAATATGAAGATCCTCTAAGGGTTTTAGCACTAAAGAGAATGTCAGAGGTTCAGTAATGTCTGATCTCTGAGATATGAATGTGACCCCCTGTTATCAGAATATCTGAGCAGGATATAGTATGGGAGCATCTGTCTGCTCTGTCTTATTTTCCTGTCTCACATATTTGGAAAGTACCTAAAGGTACAGGGATAGTTTGTATCTAGTCCACAAATGAGCTGTTAATTCTGTTCCTCTGACTAGAGAGAGAACAACTTATGCAACATGTTACGGTGCAGGTTTTTGTGTCCATATAGCCTCTGCAGTGGGGAGCTAGCCTTCTTGAGATAGTTGCCTTAAGCTTCACAAAAAGAAAGACTGGGGTCACTGAGATGCAAAGGAAAATGGAAGTTGTCTCACATCTAAGAGCTGTGAAAACATTTCTTCCCAACTCCTGAAATTTCTGCATGGACTCAGTCTAGTTCTTGTGTACATACGGCAAGGAGAGACAGGCGTTAGGCATATAGGTCCTAGCCTACTGAATACCTTGTAGGTCAGGATTAGGGCATTATAGAATCATGTCAGGAGCCAGTGCCACAGTATGGGCACTGGGTGTCAGACAACTGGCTATGCTGTGTCATAAGGTTTTTTCTGATCCCTCAGTAGCAGATATTGCCATAGTTTCACCTGGAAATTATAAAGATGTGTATCCCACTTAGCTACACACCAGCACTTTTTACAGTACAATGGCATGCAAAACATGCTATAATGAGAACTGAATGAAACATTTAGTTAGGGATTTAGTTAGGGAGCTTCTGAAGGGGCTGAACATTTTTAAGTCAGCCAGCCCGGATGATCTTCACCCTAGAGTCCTAAAGGAACTGGCTGGGGTCATTGCAAGTCCCCTGGCGCGGCTTTATGAACACTCGTGGTGCTCTGGAGAGCTGCCGGAGGACTGGAAGAGGGCCAACGTGGTTCCCATCTTCAAAAAGGGGAGGAAAGAGGACCCAGGGAACTACAGGCCAGTCAGTCT